TCCATTTTTCCCTCTAGTAACTTGGAAGTTATATTCCCTATTTCTGTTCTTTTGGTGGTTAGCCTTGAAATTTTACCACATATACTATACTTAAGTTAATCTCTTAACCCTAGACTTGGAGAAATATGAACACTTAGGAACGTGTGAATTCCAATGGCCCCATCTCACTCACTTGCTGTCCGTCTGTGGGCAGTGGTAATGTGTTTGGTTTGAGAAGATGGTCCTCTTTATGTGCTTTTCAGCCACATTTGGCACAGGGTTTAGTTTCATGCCAAAAGAGAATTCTTTCTCCTGTATTTTGTGGATAACGCTCCAAACACCTGCGTGTACAAATCCAAAAAGTATGTGCTTGAATCCAACTTCACTTACCCTGACTCATCCGTTTGGGAAGATGACTACAATGGATTTCAGTGGAGGAAGGGGAAATCCTGATCTGTGTACTGATCCAAACTGTCCTCTCAAAGAATGAATGTGAATGCTTTTTTACAGAGCCTGCCTACTGGTGCAAGACGCCTGTGGAATGTTTGGCGAAGTGCACTTGCAGGGGGCCGTCCTGAAGGACAGACAGTTGGAAGGGAAGGCCTGCAGCCTGGCAGGAATGAAGATTCTACAGAAGGCCACCAGAGCAAGGTGAGCACTTGCTGGGATGGCATCTGGTTTGCTACAATGGCTGGTTCTTTTATTAGTCTTTTGTCTTCAATTTTATTTTGGAAGACAATAAACCAGGATCCTAAAGTTTGCCTGTAAGGTAAGGCCAGGGGTTGAATGGAGCCTATTGAGTACCTCAAGGGGAAAAATTATAATTGACAACAAAAAGAATTATGCAGGGTTAGTGATTTATAATTTTATTAAAATTAAGAAGATAAAATATGTTGTGTATGTGTTTTTAATTCTAAAGATTAGTTTTCTGAATGTTTTTCTAACTATAATAATAAGACAACTTTGTATGACAGTTTATGTAAATGAAAAATCTAATTTGGCAAAAAAGCTTTAAGCAGTACTCTTTAAGTTGCCTTAAGTTGTCTTTGTGCTTTTCATAGTAAGCAAGCTTTGTTCTCTGTTGAGTGTCATGGCACCTCACCCTAAAATGTTGTTTTAGATGGGCAGAGGTGGAATGGTACGTGGCTCAGGCCCAAACTGTGGCTGTTAAATCTCCAGTAATAATCCTGGTCTGTGAATGAAGAAAAAGAAACATTTTTAATGGAACTCTCTAGTCATATGGCAAATTAGTGTAAACAGTAAATTGGGAGTTTTCTCAATCTTATTGTTACCTCTTGTTCTACAGATAGTGTCTTATTTTACCTCCCTTGACGTTGATGTTTTGTTTAACATCTGAGCTTATAATAGTGTCTGAGGGAGAAAAAGCGCATTCTGGGTGTGTGATGTCCTAACTTGGAAGCAGTTGCTGATGGCATCCTCCAGTGGTTTGCATAATGACCATTTTTAGCCATGGCCATGCTAAATTGTGAACATTTACTGAACATTTCTCCTGACTGACCTCAGTAGGAAGCCAGCTTCCCCGCGGTCCTCAACCCCATGTTCTGTCTTTCTCTCCTGTGGCACCGTACAGGTGAGTGACAGCTGTGCCTGAGAGCTTGTTTTTTGGAAGAGATATAATTCATTGACAGATCCCCTGTAAGCCTTGAGAAGATACAAGAACATTTTATTGATTCATATAGATGTGTTTGATAACATTTGGGGGTTTTTTTGGTGGCTGGCCAGTACAGGCGTCTGAACCTTTGACCTTGGTGTTATAATACTGCGCACCAACCAAGTGAGCTAACCAGCCAGCCCTATTATAACAAATGGTTCCTTTTGTTTGTAAAAAGCAACTATATTATAATGTAATTGCATTATAGATTGGGGTAGGAGGAAATTTGCCCAGATATTTAGAAAGCATATCTAGACACGAGAAAAGCTTCATTGGGTCACGTGAATCTTATATTTATTAAGGCTGAACCTCGTTTTAGTCCTCATTAGAGTATTCATTCTAAGCAGTTTCACACTCAGAAGTATCTGAAGACTGAGGGTAGTCATGGTAAAATGATATCCCTGCCCTGAGACTGACCTGACAGCGTTAACTCCATCAGGGCAGTTAAGGGGGAGTACTAAACATGTGTGCAGAAGGACGCAAGTGGGCTCCTGCCGCAGGGTGCTCCAGGGGTCAGGCTTCCCATGCACTCCAGTCCTACGGAGCCACTCTGGCTGGAGACCGTGGGACATACCTTCTTGTGGAAGTGCTGCTGGTGAAAGACACAGCCAGGCCTGGGAACTTAGGTCCTCTGGCTCTATAAATTTCATCTTCTTTCACAGTATGCTGTACAGCCATTCAGGTACCTAGTTTTTCCCTTGTTATTATGGATTACGCTAGGAGTCTAGCCATATCTACAACATTCCCGTGGGAAATGCACTGATTATTCAAAATAATTCATTTACCAATGAACTTTTGGACCCCTTTTCATGTTTAAGTTGGTGACCAGAATATTTGATGCTTTTTTAGGTTAGGATTAATTTATTTTATATATTTAACTTTATTTTGTCATGTAAACATCCAAATAGGTAGTTAGATTGTCTTTTTGTTCTTTGGGAAGCTATATTTCTTCAAAACAAATTATTGAATAGTTTTGGAGTGCTGGATGTTATAATCGCCTGTTAGTGATGTCACTCATTGTCAGTCATCTTTCCGCGGCTGAGTAAACTCAACACTGTCTCTCATTTTTTTTCCAAATTGTGGTGTTTTGTAGCAACTCTGATAAACTTTAACAAAATACACTTCTCATAAATCTTAACAAAATATTCTTACTTCCCAAAATTCAAGCTAAAATGATTAATTTTATAATTCCAATATCTAATACAGAAAATAACTTTTTTCCAGTTGGAAGATAGTTGTATGTTTGGGCTAAGTCATAGAGTCTTTTAGATCTGGTCTACCAGATTTCATCTGGTCCCTGGTTCAAGTAATGGAATGTCACTCATCATTACCAATGAATGTAATGGCCACATCGAAGGGGACGGATGGCCGCAGGGCTGTCCAAACAGACAGCCGTGCTACAGGGAGCCCCACTCAGCTACCTGCCTCATTCCAGAGGGCTTGCAGAGTAACAGCCGGCATAGCTTTTGTTTTTCTGTGACGTGATATATTTTTAGATTTGAGTGTTTATACTGTCCGGTCAATGTAAGAAGAGTTGAAAAAATAGCCTGGGTTTAAATTTTAACACTGTGCAATTTTCCAAACAGCGCTGGCAGTGCATGCTCTGTGGCAGAGTGCACACCACTGCCTGTCCTTCATCTCAGAGTGCTGGCTGCTGTTTGTCCAGTGACTTTCTTCTAAGGCACATCTGCTGGCCTTTGTCCTCTCAGGTTGCCTGCGCAGAAGTTTAGTAGGTCAAACAAGCTGAGAAGTTGCTTTGGTGTCATAATTCTATGTATGAACTTTATCTTTTTTTTTCCTTTTTGTCTTTTTTTACTGACCGGTAACGGGATTGCAACCCTCGGTGTTGCGCCCGTACC